ATTTGACTGTCTCGACTGCACTTTTCTGCTTCTTTGTTAGTCAAGCTTGATTTTACAAAATTTATTTATTTCAGTTATGAAATCTGAGGTTAGGGTATACTGATGTGGGGGGTGGTAGTACTTGCCCTGTTCTTTTTGACAGGCTATATGCTAGTATAATTATAAAGCCTACAGTTAGTATTTCTATTAAAGGTTTTTAAAATGGGATAAAAATTAATCTTTCTGAAAATAGAGGACTGTATCAAATAACATGAATTATACTTGCTCAATATAAGATTAAAGCAAATATATGTCTAAAGTTCCCTAAACAAAAAAGTTTTAAATACTTGTACACAGATATCAAACTCATCCGTTTTTTAATCATACCTGAGTAGTTATTACAGCATCTTGGATCATGTTATTTTCATTTACATAATGCTTTGGATCACTAGATCTTGAAGTTTCTACAGAACTTGGACCTGCTCCTTGATTCACTTCTGAATAAACTGGCAATGTTGACACCTGAGTATTAAAGCAATTTCATGTTGATTTTTGCGAAATTGGTTGAACCTTCGTACAGTTTGGTGTAAAGGTTTCTATAGTACACCGTATTACACACACATATTTAGTTGCAGTATTAAATTTTGAATTTAAAATTGACACCACATGTCAAAACTTTAATAATTCAAAGTAGTATTGTTATGCTATATTACTAACACATTCGAATGACATGAATTTTATAATATATCATGTTTTAACTTGCAACATACAATGATCTTGCATGATTTTGTTTTATAACACTTTTTTACTAAACACCATTGCTTATAAATAAAGGTTAACTTTTCTTTTATACAATTTATGAGAAAGGTAAAACCATATCCATGAAAAGTTCACATGTATTAACTAAAAACTGCCTTTCAGCACAAAAAACTTAAAGTTTGTGTTGCACAAAATGTTCTCAGAATTACCAAGTGAAGAACATTGAAAGATTACAAAATCAATATTACTTCTAGGAGCAGTTACACATAGAGGTACTATCTTTATTAATATATATATTAATTTAATGCAACTTGTAATAAAAATCTATCGTACAGTTAAATATTATATTAAATGATAATATTACAACAGGAAAACATGACTAGATGAGATCAGTCAAAACAAGTTCATGACTCCAGGAACTCACCTGCACTGTTGCATAACATTCATTGCTTGGTTCCCCATACTGATCAATGTCTCTGGAAGAAGGGTCATAATGTTGCTCTTCTTCATGGAATTCCTTTACTGCAGCACCTTCACTTACAAAATCAGCCTGTCAAACAGATTATGGTAGAGTATTTGAGCTCTCTGAAGTACTTTGTCACATTGTTTCACTAAAATTGTACATTTACACAGGTGTATGTGAAGCAAATCATCCAACTATTTACTATAAGCATGAAATTTTACAAGTGTGCATGTACATGTGATAATAATATCTCACAATTTTAAGGATACACAACAAGACAAGCTAACAGAAAGCCATTCACCCCTTATCCAAAAAGAGATAGCTATACCCTTTTAATTTCACAACTCTAAAAGACAACTCAAAGAATAGCCAACACCTCAAGAATTTTAGATATCTGAATCTAGATTTTATAATTTCAACAACAACAAAAAATCTAAATCTCTAAGCCTATCCACACAGCTTTAATGTGTATACTAAACAACCCCTAAAAATCTATATTACATCAGAAAAAATAATAATTTGAAATTAAATATTACATAATTAAATTATAAAGGTCAAATTAACTGCTATATCTACCAATAAAATTGGTCTCATCCTACCCAATATTTTTTTTACTCAGATGCCTACGAAAACAACAGAACAAGTCAGTTCAGGTATTATTAACCTTATTCCACCTTAAATTCAATCTCAGAAAAAAATCTAAAAATAAAGTTAAATATAGAAAGCAATCAGTAAGAAGGGGAAACAAATACTGGAAATAAATTCACAGCGAAGACTACATAATCTTGAAAAGGGAAAGCAAGTTAACCAACATATCAGTATAAACAATCTCCTGCACTTAACATAGGCCAGAAATGTGTATTATCAAAGATATGTGAACGTATCATAAGATGTCTACCCTCTTAGATACCAGACACTTTTTCAAATTTCTGGTGTATCCCAGGTTTTGTTCTTAATATAGAATGTCAGTCAAGAGGACTAAGTTTCTTTCACCTTAGTTATGCACAGCAATGTAATGAGTCACCAAGGGTGTGACAATCCTTGTTGACAATAGGATTAACCCTAGTCACACAAATAACACGCGCACTTAGAGAGAGGAAACCCCGTATTTATTGCCAAGTTTCTCTTTTTTGTTATAACTTTTAATATGTTATAAGTGAAAAGAAAGAATTAGCAGAAATATGCTACCCACACTATGTCTGCCACATCCTATGTCAATAAGTCTTTTCGTTCAACTACGGTGCTAATCAGGCCAGCTGGGATGTGACATAGAGGTCAGCACTAGTTACATCATTTTAATACAACTGTAATGGTGCCAAAAATACAAGATTGCTCTGTGAAATAGTGCCTGATGATTCCTCCTGATAGTTTGTGGATCCTACAGGCTGCTTTAAGGAAAATCAGTGTAATCAGAATACCACAGAGCAAGTGGAAAAGATGGATACTGTTATTGTAAATGTCTATTTTTCTGGACAAGTGCCTTGTTTTCTGTGTCCTTCAAATTATTGTACCATTGAGCTAAAGCTTTGCTAGAAATGACATTTTCCGCAAAGTTGAGGGTTTATGATCAGGAGGAAGTAATCACTGGGGGTGGTTTGTTGTCATGGAGAACTGTTGGGTCTAGAAGAAACCCTCTCCTAAATATTAGACTTTCACTGATGCCATAGAGGTAAATTACAAACATCTCAATGCAGCCTCACCCTAGAAAAGGACTATCACTATCTGATGCATCTAGTGCAGCTGAGGAAGTTCTCCTGAAGGAGGTTTGACCTCATCCCACAGGAGATTTATGTGCAGTCTGACAGGTCCAAGATTGAATGGGGTAGTCTCTAAAATACCCCTGAGTAATTGCTGACCAGAGAAGAGCCACCACTGATCAACTGGGAGAGACCAAAGATGCTACTGGTGGATAATGTTCACCAACAGAAACCGTTTAATAAGCAGATAGAGTTGGGTGAAGGTGGTTAACTGCAGATTTCAGCCTTTCTAATTATGGAAGCCTACTACCAGGGCAACTATTAGTCATGAAGGAACCATGAAGTCACACAGAACCAATGGGCTCAAGAGCAGGGGTTCCTGCACCAGCCTTCTCTCCTCCCTTCACTAATGTCCCCAGCAATCAAGACAACTCAGCTTGGCATAGGCTGAGAGTCCCAGAGATCACAGACACCTGAGAGAGAGGTAAAGCAGATCTCACCTCTGATGTTTATGGGAACAATAAAGGAGGATTTGGACCATTTCACCTGGTATTACAGGTATATCACTGTTTGGAATGGATGGAATCTGCAATAGGTATTGGAACATCTGTTCCTGAGTTTAGACTGTTCAACCTTTGACACCATCAAACACCTGAGCCAGATGCAGTTGCATAACTGGAATACGGTTGCTACCAGGTTGCACTGACTCTTTGACCTACTGGAAAATCAAGCTGTCCATCTAGATAATTTTTAGACTTGAAGAATGGGTATCTGTGAGAGCCTGAGTGCATATAATGACAATCTTAATTTGTTTCAATAGAAACCTTTCATGTGTATGGCCTCCACAGATTCTGAATATATCCTTGTCAATAAGTTCAAAGATGGGCTGCTGAGTGAAACAATGTAGCAAAACTTGGGTGTAAGAGATATTCTCACCACATTGAGGTAGTATCCACCATGACTGAAAGTGGTAACTTCAAACAAATCACAAATTTTTCTTTATAAAAACAAAAAACAAAATTGCCACCCAAAGGTCAGTTAAAGCCAAAGATAATTTTTATTTTTTTACAAACTTAATCAAGAGAATGGGATACATATGATGGGGTATTATACATTATAATCTCAAACCAATGAGTATTTTTCTAGAACCATTTTTCAGTTTTGGCTGAGGATGGATTATGGGCAAGAAAAATGTGCTGTAGATTCCAATATTTAAAGAGTTAAACCTAAAAAGAAAAAGGAAATTTAGAAACTTATGGTCCAAATATAATCCCTGTAAAAGTAAAGGTAAGGCTCATGCTACATTAGCCAGAAAACACAGTTTGACTGACCTGTTGTTCTAGTAGTAGCTAAGAACATTTAAATTAGATAGTACTGAAATGTTTTGTGAGTAGGCAGAATTATCTGTGCAAACATTTGCAAGTATCATCCCAAATTTAAACTAGGCATGCTCAATGTTTTATTTGGTTGTGAGTGAATATTTTCAGTCATGCAGATTGAATACAGTTTCTCAATATTTTCAAACATTTCAATACAAGCTACAGAGCTCAAAGGAAAAAGTAAGGATCATGTAGTATTGCTTTGTGCTTGTCTTTAATTAACACTTTCAAAAAACAGGCTCGGTCTATGTGACAGGCCTTTTAATTCCAAAGTAACCATCAGTTTCCATACTATTAACTTTTAATATGCTAAGTATATCTTAACAAAACTTGTCAAGCTTTCTGTAAACATTATAAGTCTCTGTGTATATATGGAGTCAAAATGTTGTCTGCTCCAAGTGCAAATTGATTTTCATGTTTAGTTTAAAAATACTTTTCTTCACCTGAAAATTGTCAACTTCCTTAGCATAATCTCTAAAAACTTTCTAAATAAATATCAGTTCCTTTCTTGTGAGACTCAGTCAAATGCAAAGTTAATATAAGCACTGCTCTGTGAAATACCCTAAGATGAGTCTTCCTGTTACTTTATTGATCTTATAGGCTGCTCTGAGAGAAATCAGAGCAATCTGAACACATTCTTTAATATCAGACATAATAGATGTATTCTGTCAGTCATCAACTACATGTAACAATCTCATAGTTGTAAGTGTCACACTTATTCCAGTACACGCACTTCCCTGGTGTACTTTTTAAAACTGCTTTAAAATAATGTAATATTTCAGTCTTAAAATATATACTTGTGTGAAAGACAAGGTTATGAACCTGATTTAAAGAAATTATACATAATGCCAACATAGGAATTCCTGTTCAAAAAATTCATTTTACTTTTAGGTATCACCTTCATCAGGGACATAGCATTTACAAAATATAAATGTAATATTTTTCTTCTTTTCATTCACTTACCTCACCACAGGTTTGAGTATGGGGTGGCCATACTAATGAAGCTGCTGAATGAGGGGGTGGACTAGATGTCGATGATGGTTCTGGCAAAGTTGTTGCCATTCTAATAATACCATATGCCTGAACAAAGTATCTGTTGTTGTTATAAAAAAAAATCTTTATCAGAAATCTTATTTTACTACATTCATTCTATGAATGATTATTGCTATAATTACTATGTCATCATATTAATAGCTACTGTCAATATTTGAACTTAATAAACTGTTTTAATTCAGGTCACATGTAAAAAATAAACATTAAAGATTACACTAACTAAAAATCCATTTGAAATGTATATATATAATACACTACAACTAGCAAATGTCTGCAAATGTATAAAATGTATTTCCAATGACAAATAGTAGAAAATGGAACTGAAATAAACTATTTTAAAAACTTATTTATGAAATTCTCTTATGCCCTTTAAATTTCTTGTAGTGAGCATTAAAGATATCTGTGATTAAAAAACACAAAAATATATAGCCAGGGAAAAATCTTAAAAAAATATTCAGGATTTTTTATCAACAACAGCTCAGAACCTATAATTTTACTATATTTTTTTTAAAAACTAAGACAACCATTATTTTTTCATTTCCTTGAAAATTTATAAACTAAGTTTCTTGTTGGTTGACTACTTATTTCAAAACAATGTTGTCTTTCAAAAGGTCATGTATATCTCCTACCTAAAAACAAATTTTGTTTATAAGTCTTCACTGAAGACTTTAAAGCTAGCAAACGGTTTTCTGATCTTTAATTTAGCCCGTCAGAAGTGACGGGGTGAGTACTACCACCCACAGTATACTCTAACCTCACATTTCATAACTGAAATAAATAATTTTTGTGAAATCAAGCTTCACCATGAGAAAGAGAGACAGAAAAGTGTAATCGAGGCAGTCAAATGTTGGCAAATTCCTTTGTGAGCCAATCAAAATTAAGATCATTCATGAAATGAATTCGTGGCATATTCATAGAATAATTATTGACAAAAATCAGTTAGATTAACAGCTTCTAATATATAGAAAAGCCAGTGCTTTTTGGTTACACTATGTTCCAACAATGGCATTTATAACATGCTGTTTATCAACAAAAGTATAACCTAATACTGTTGTTAGTCTATGTACTGAAAGTATAAAATGAAATGTATAGACAACGAAACTGGAAAACTATTTGGTGATTTCTTAATTTAGAGTCTCCGTTGATTAAAGAGGTTTGATGATATAACAGAAAATAGATAAATTCATAAAGGAATTAAGTTTAGAATTGAATTAATATTTTTACTTTCGTGATAAATTTTATGCACTTGGCTCTAGGCTAGGTGATCTCACACTAACTCTTTACTTTAGGTTTATTATAACAACACTGACTACATTTCCAAGGTTTCACAGCACCACCAGCCCCTTTTCACCCTCGTCACTAAAATCATAATGGACAGACAGTAATCGAACTAATCTGTCTCGATAATTGCATTTTGGCTTTTATGACTCCTCCTATTTCAAGAAATAAAGCATGACATGACACATACTGGCTTTTATATAGGTTAGATTATAGTTCATCATATTTGTAAATGTTTAGGTCATTATCTCTCACCAGTACACGAGATAATTTCTCTGGTTCCCATCAGTAACATCAACTGAATCCTTACCCTTCACATTAGATATGAATTCTCTTGTTTTGGGTTTTAAGGAGTCTTTATACACACCTGTTTACAGAAAGTAACTAGTAAGTCAACTGTGAAGTAAGAGCTAGATATTGAGTTTCCTTTCACCATTTGATCGAAACACGTACAGTATTTCGATACAATTTAACTAAGTCACAATTTTTTAGTTAAACTACTGAGTGTAAAATATATATAAAAATGAATTATGGGTCATCAAGGGGGAATTTTGGACCATCACATCAAAAATGTGCTGACTCCCAACCTTCCTCAAAAAACAAAAAACTGTATCACTAAATCCAGCTCTAATCCTAGAATGTTCATAAATGCTTTTCTTAAATTTGGGACTGAAAATATACATTCTCCACTACTCTAGAGATGGAGATAGCCATGAAGAAGTGATCACCAGAATTAGTAAAGCTAATGCCATATTTTGAATACTCAGAAAACTGCTCAACAATAGAACTATGAACATCAAAATGAGAGTTAGACTCTATAATTGTCTTGTTGTGCCTGTCCTGCTGTATGGTTGTGAGACGTGGCAGACATACAGAAAAGACAAAAAAGGTTAAATGCATTCCATATGAACAGCGAGCATCAAATACTGATATTATCATGGAAAGATAAAGTATCAAACATTGAGGTGCTGAAGCACACAGGAGAATGTGACCTAATGAATTTAGTCAGGCAAAGAAGATTGAGATGGATGGGCCACATCATAAAAATGGATGACACAAGAATTGTGAAGCAAGTGATGAACTGGAAGGTTGAAGGTAAAGTAGAAAGAAAAGATGGCCAAAGCTCACATGGAAAAAATGTGTTGAGAATGACATCAGCAAAAGAACTATCACATGGGAAGAAAAGGAAAAGATAGCTCTGAAAGGAAGAAAAATACCATCAATGGATGGACCAACATGTCAGGAGACACAGGATGAACTAAGTACTCATATGTAAATAAGTACTGCTCTAGATGCAAATTTGATTCATAGATTTACCACCCTAGTAGAGAAATAAAACTACCTCAACTGGAAATGTGTCTCACCTTTTCAAATCTTAAAATTATAACCCCTTGTGCTATTGCCCTCAGAAATATGTTGCAATCTTATCAACTCTCTGAATTTTGAGTACTTCAATAAGATCCATCTTGACTCTTCTCTTCAAAAGAGAGAAAAAGTTAAGAGATCTCAACCTATCCTCATAATATGACAATACATCCAACCCAAGAATCATCCTAGTAGCTCTCTTCTGAACCCTCTTCCCATGATAAAAGGACCAAGACTGCATGGCACAATGTCCATGTTCCAACAACCATTGGTGTGAGAGCCCTTAATGTTACATGTAGCCAGAAAAGGAAGGCACAAGAAAACACAGGCATTTCCAATACAATGTGGTTCTCATAGACCAAGAATATCACCAAGGCCAGGCAGGCCACGCATGTGTCCCCTAATGCTAAATATAAATTAACAGTGACCTGACAAACTAATGGACTGTTGGAATACAGACTACACACAATATGTTTGTATGTATATATCACATTACCATTATTGGTCCAAGTTGTCAACCTTTTGTAATACTTAATTCATTATTTTTTATAGTGCTGATTTAATCGCCTATTAACAATTAATGTATTCAATAGTTTGAAAGCTATTTATTTATGTATGTATGTATGTATGTAAGTATGTGTGTGTATACATATATACACACACACACAATGTCACTAATTTCAATAAGAAATAGAAATGATCTCAGTACAGTTTATCCACTTGTAACATAAGTCCAGTTAGACTGAACCCCAACCACTTTCTGATTCCTCTCATCTAATCAACTTCAACCTATTTAACTACCCTATCTCCTACTCCAATGGTCTACCAGAGGCAGTCTACAGGCTATATCAGACCCTCATAAGTATAGAAAATATAAGCAGAATTGTACATGTAGAATGTTGTACTTTCCAATAAGCTTAGGACTGCCTATTGGCTTTATGGTCATCATCAGAAGCAGTCCAATGTGGATGATAATTGGAAACCACTGCCCTACTCCGACTAGGGTAATTTCTACACTAATCTTTTATTAACTTCCAATTAAAACAAGCTATTAGGTCGTCAAGAAATTAATGTCGCTTTTTTAGTTGAAAAAACCCGAACAACCTATATATCAAAAGAAAACATTTATTGAATGAAATTGTCTCCATTTTTATCGATGATACTTTTCCATCTTACAATCAGGTTGTTAATGCCCTGATTAAAGAAATCACTTGGCATTGAAGCAAAAAACATGTTGATGTTTTCATTTGCATACGTTTTCCCACTAAGATGGTGTTGCATCAAACGAAAACGATGGTAATCTGATGGTGCCATATCTAGAGAATATGATGGATGGGGGAGAATTTCCCAACCCAACTCCATTAATCTTGTGTTGCGTCAAACGTGCCACATGTGGATGTGCATTGTTATGGAGAAAAAGAAC